TTGTGTGCTGGACCTATTTGAAGATGCTCTCCCACGGAAGTTTGCTGCTGCTGCTACTGCCGCCCCTGGTTGCTATTGAGCCTGCGTCTGCTGGTAGGACCCCTATGCACTGATAGCTAATGTCGTTGTTGGTAACCATGCTGTTACCGCTAGTCAGATGCTTATGCTGCGAGTGAATGTCGCTCCTACTGCTGCTTCTGCTTCTGTTGCTGCTGCTGCTGCTTCTGCTGATTCTGCTGCTGCTGCTGCTGCTGCTGTCAGAAAGGATCTGACGGACGCGGATGCTGGCACGCCTACGTACCCACACCAAGAGCTGCTGCTAACACTGCTGCTGCTGCTGCTGCTGCTGCTGCTGCTGCTGCTGCTGCTGCTGTCAGAAAGGTTCTGACAGACGTTCGTGTCTATGCTAGCCCAAGTCACATGCGGGTGCTGGCGCCTCAACGCATCCACCCCAAGTGGTCGCGAGAGAAGAACATGGTTGAAGCATGGAGGCTTGCGGGGCTCCTGTCGCCGCTGTCTGCATGCCACAGCATCCCCTCCTGCTCTTCTCTTTCCTAAACCCACCAATAACCCCCCCCCCCTCCCCACCCCTACCCATCACTCATCACCACGCCGGTTAGTAGAACCCACCAATGCAAGCAACACCCCCTCTCCCCCCCATCCTCCCCCCTCCCCTCGGCCGTTAGCGGGACCCTCCAATGCACACCCCCACCGCGCCCGTTAGCAGGAAGCTTCCATCTCCTTTACTGTTGACAGCAGCCCCTAGCTCGGGCTGCTCTTCACGTTCCCCCCGCTGCACCCCCGCTCACCGCGCCCGTCAGCAGACCCACCATTGCATTGCATCCCCCCTCCTCCTCCCACGTCGCCATTAGCAGTACCCTTCCATCTCCTTTACTGCTGAAAGCAGCCCCGAGCTCGGATTGCTCTTCACGTCCTTCAGTTCCGGCACAACGGACCCGTCTATGGTCACATACGCGCTATTGAGAAACGGTTGCAACGGCTCCCCGCCTTCCACTGGCTGGATATTGATGTCTGATAAAAGGATGTTGCTGCAGGGGACTGTATCGGAACAGTCGAGCTTGATCCCTTCCCCTTTAGAAGTCGTCCCTTTAACGTTTTTAAACGTGACGTCCGAAATCGCTACAGCGTCGTGGGAGGTGCCGCATGACCGCGAAGACTCGCTGTCGCAGTAAAACTGGTCGATGCGAATAGGGTTACCAACGTTTTCGAGTATCATGTCCTCGAAATGGATCCCCCGGGCTTTCCCCTTGCCGCCCTGCCACGTCTTTATGCGAAGCCCGTTGGCGGTGTTGCGAAGGATGGATTTTCGAACTGTGATGTCCGAAACGCAGCTGATGTCTTTTTCCTTCCCCAGACTTCCGATGCTGTTGTTTGCGGTCAGGAGGGAAGGAAAAAGAAGGCACGAGAGAGAGGAGGAAGAGATTGATGAGGATGATTTAGCGGATGGGGAGTTAAGGTGGGGAAAAGCAAGCCACATGCATTTTTCCGTGCGTTAATAATCTGTGTTTGCTGCCCACGATTGTTTTTTTCGCTGGTTGCGGATTCATCATTTCACTGTAGAGCTTGTAGAATTGTCTCACCTGATTCCGTGGCCGGAGTTGCCAACAATGTTCTGAATGAGCACGCGCGACGTGCCGTTGATGATTGCCACGTTGTCATCGCCGCCCGAAAACTCGCAGTTCTCGATGAGCGCGTCTTGCACGTACGACAAATGAAGGCTGTCCGTGTTCGGGCTCTCCTCGGGACTCGATGTAGTCACGCCGCGTACAGTCACGCCGTTGTTCTCGTAGAAGAACAGATGCTTGAACGGGGGGTCCCTGGCGAGTTGATTTGCGATCGCCGAAGAGGGAAGGGGAGGAGGGGAAAGAGGAGGAGGAGAAACGGTGAGCATACGGACGAGGGAAATCGTACAAACCGAAATCAAAACTCAAAGGGATAGGATGGATTAGGCGGCGCGCGCGGCGCGGCGAAACTCACTTGGAGGTGATGCCGGTAACCAGCACGCCGTGGCACTCCACAATGACGATGTTCTGCGGCCGCTCGTCGCGGTCCTTCTTCCACCACTCCTCCGCATTCCCATCCACCAACCCGCCTCCCACAATTTCCAATCCCGGGATACTGCGGAAATTCAGGATGCCGTACGTGCCCGACCCGGGATTGTCGTATTGCCCGGGATCGGAAGGCCCCACGATGGTTCCGTCAATTGTGAATTGCACGCCCGGCCCGCACGGCCCCTCGAACAGCACGGGCTTTACCAGAAACGTCTTTCCCGACGGAACGACAACTCCGGTTTTTTTGTCGGACGATTTCGCCTCCTTGCATGCCGCCTCGAACGCCGCAGCGAAGGCCTTCGAGTCGTCGCTCGAGCCACCGCCATCGGCGCCGAATTGGGTTACAGAGAAAGTCGACGAAACATCCGAACCGGAATTCGAACCCGACCCGGACCCCGAGCCGAAATCCCCCGAGAGCGCACCGCTGAAATCATCCGCGCTTTTTGTCGACCCCAGATTCAGTCCGTCTTTCGCGGCGCGAAGCTTCAGCATCTTTTCCCACTTCGCCTTCCCGTGGTGCCCGCCATTAGGCCCGTGATGCCCGCCGTTCGGCCCGTGGTGTCCGCCCTTCGGCCCATGGTGCCCGCCTGTCAAACCGTGATGCCCCCCGGACGGCCCATGATGCCCTTTCCCAGGCGCGCGGTGGCCCGACCCGATGGGGTGGCGGCGCAGCACGCGGCGGCTGCTTGCGCCGGCGGAGAGGCCCGCGGGGCGCATGGCGGAGAGAAAGCGGGAGAGGATGGAGAGGCCGGAGGCGGGTTGCGCGGAAGGTTGGGCGGAGAGTTGCGCGGAGGAGTCAAGGGAGGGTTTTGATTGGAGCCAGGAAAGGGCTCGGGAGGCGGCGGATTGGAGGGGGCTGGCGATTTCGTGCGATTTTTGGGCGACAGTTGTAGCGGGGGGTTGGCGATTTTTTAGGCGGTTAAGGATAATTTTGGCGGCTCGAGGAGCGCGGAGGCGCAGCTGAGAAAGCGCGCGCTTTTGAGACGGGTTCAGCGGTAGCGGCCGCTGGTGCCAGTGGGATTGCTGTGACGTGACCCGAGTGGGTACCGTAGGTGATTGCGTTTGTTGCGCGTTGATTGTGGTGCCTGGAGAAAGAGTTGGGTGGGGAGAAATTGACGTATGGACGGAGAAGAAAACAAAGTCTCGTTTAATCTGATTAGTTTCGACGTTTCCAAGTCAACCAAGGCTCGCATCGCAGCAGCACAACGAGAAAATGAGGACTCAACAGCGTCCTCTAAACTTACATGACGCTACAAGTGTAGCTAGAACCAGAAGTAGTATGCGTCTCGTCATCGCTCCTCTCTTGTGAGGGATGTAGAGGTACTAAATGGAGGATTGTTGCCAGAGGTCGCGACCTCTTGTGCTAGTACAGGTTGTACTGAGATTGAGCTAGAAACAGTGAAACAGTCGAGCTGGTTCGCAAGATAGGAGTGCAGTTTTTTATATGTTGCACCCTCCGCCGGAAAGCGTGTGCCTCACTATGAGCGGCCCGAGAGGTACATGCAGGCTTCTGAGAAAATGGGGACAACCGAGGAGCAAATTCGAAGCGGGGCTTGCAAGCTCCCAAGCTTTGCGAGAGCGGGGGAGGGGACAGGGCGAGAGACTAAAGTCGGGATTCCAGCGAAATGGAATCCCTGCGTGCAGATGCCTCAGAAATCACAGCAGGTACATCTTTACGAGCCGCATTTCTCTATGTAACGTGCTGAGAAGCGAATTTACGGAACGCACATTGTCGAAGATACGCGACTCGTAGGCTTTGTAAGTCCAGAACACACTTTCCTCGAAAGTCGTTGAGCAAAGTGACCAATGGGAAGCGAGACCCCGTCGTGAGCGATTCGTCAGGGGGTTCCTTGGCGATGTAAGAAGGGCCAGAACGAACACTCGGCTTGTCTGCGACGAATTCTTGTTGGCTGCGTGTGTCAGGGCGAAACAGCCGTTCGGCTGAGCGAGGTGAATTGGACCATTCAGGGGCACGGGGCGGAGAAAGTTACCGGAAGGACGACAGCTAGAGCCAGGGGAGGTGCAACTGACGACTATCATCCGACAGTACAAACCATCAGAGAATGTGCGACAGGGGTGGACGACACACTGCAACGATCCACTGGCGACTGGCCCTCGCTGGAGAGGAGAGAGAGCTTGGGGGCGCGGGAGTAGGTAAAATTTGAAAACCGCTTTGCAAAAATTTCCTTACACGTACGCTCGTGTTATCGCTGTATGGTGGGGACTAGTAGCGTTCATGTGTTCACATACAAGACTGCCAGATCTGTAGAATCATTTTTTCTGTTACGAGTGCAATTGAGTGAACGAACGAGAGTTGCGCTATCGAAGCAAAAAGTCCATTGAGCGAAGGCATGAGCGAAGAATATATAGCGAAGCTAGCGTGGTAACAGTAATGCATGAAAATGGGGTGCACTACGGGCCTAGCGCCGAGGTTGGGAATTGTGGAGGCGGAGGTCCGGAGCGCGGGTTACCAACCGAACCGTGAGGTTGGGTCGCGGCGTGAATAGTGGTGGGAACAGTAGTCGAGGCGAGTGTCGCAAGTGGTAACGGTGCACTGTTGAGAACTGTTGGCAGGAACAGTGGTGTACGCGCTGAGCAGGGACCCGAAGCAAGGAAAAGGAATTTTCCTTACCGTACATTTCCACACATAAGACGCAAAAGTTCATTCATTTGTCAATTCATTTGTTCACATTGCGGAAGGCGCCCCAATGCACTGCTAGATTCCTTCCCCTCTGTTCTAGAGTCCATTAGCCACCCAGCATCTACTACTGCCCCGCTGACCATACAATAACCTGATGTACAGTACAGAAACATGGAGTACAGTAACTAAGGTACACAACCCAAACCCAGAAGCCAGAAGCCAGATGCATAAACCGCCACCACGGGCATGTACAATAGCCTAACCATAGCCTCGAGCCGTTGTGGCGGTCAATCAGCCACGAGGCGACTGAGGGACTCAATGATTTGCCTCAGGTGGTCCCGCGTGCTGGGGTCGCCTGTGAGGCTGCTGATGTCAGCACTGATGCCCTGCCATATGCAGATTGAGCAGAGCAGGGAGGGCACGAGAGGGAGAGGGGGGTGTGGGAAATGAGGGCATGCAGGCAGATAGGACATGTACAGCCACACATGGTGATGAGCGAAGAGTGGACAGCGATAGGGAGGGCAAGGGGGGGACTGAAGGATGAACAGAGGTGAAGGAGTGCCAATCCTAACATATCTGTCCATTTGATACCTCCCAAGCATTCACCACACTACAGGAAACCTCTCTCAAAGAAAACTGTTCCAAGCTTATTTTCTGCCCCGTGCTTTGATGCTTTGATAAGGATTGCGGCTCAAGCAACACATGCAGGCTTGTGGACAGCGAACCATCGAAACAGACACACACAGCACAAGCAGACCGGCCCACTGAGGAACACACCTCAATGAACTGCAGCGTCTTAGTGAGTGAGAATGGACACTGATTCGACTATAATAACGTATCACCGTCCAAACAGCCACACAAGAGCAGTCAGGCCACTCAAACAACACGTCTCGACGTGCTTGAGCGTCTTGGTGAGTGTGGACACTGACTGCAGCAGGTGACTTTTAAGCGGACTGAAAACCCAACAGTCACACACATGAGCAGGCACGCTCACTCAGACGACTCACCTCGACATGCTTGAGCGTCTTGGTGAGTGTGGACACTGACTGCCGCAGCAGCTCCGTGTTCTCCTTGGTTAAAATAGAGCTGTTCAGCTGCCTGTAAGGGGAAGGCACAAGGAAAGGGCGGATGAAATGGAATGGAGCGATTGAGGGTTGGGATGGCAAAGAGCAGCAAGGTGGCAGCAGCTCTGCGTTCCTCCTCGGACAGAATGGCGCAGTTCAGCTGCCTATGGAAGGACTTGGCGTGCGAGGAGAGGGAGACGCACAGGAGAGAGGGGTGTATGGAGCGATGGAGGTTTGGATGGCAGAGAGCAGCACCAAGCAAGCATCCAGCCAGCACAGCACAACACAGCTCTCACCTGAGGTCGGAGGCGGCATCAGAGGCCACCTTGGTGAGCTGCTCGAGGTTCTTCAGCAGGTCCCCCTCGCGCACGTCCTGCAGCATGGGCTCTATGTCCGTCATCAGCCCGTTCACCTGACAGACACATGGTCAAAGGCCAGGGGGGAAGGCATGGAGGACATTATGCTACACCTAAATGCCACAATCATTCCGTTGACCTCGAGGCTAAACAACAACGTACTGTTCTCCTGTATATTGTTTGAGTGAATTACAAATGAATACCCGTAGGACCAAGTTTTGTGATACAAGTGCTACACAACAGAAGCAGCAGTAGATAGTAAACGACTTGAAGATAATCGATAGGCAAACTGAATCAGAGAAGGATGGGTCGTGGAATGAAGAATTGAAATCTGGCTGAGGGGAAAGGGAGCGCTGACCATATATCATCCAGACCAAGATACAATAACTTGCCTTTTCCAGCAGCGGTCTTGCTTCTTCAGCCAGAGCAGCGAATTTATCCATAGCAGCGAACATGGTCCCAACTCCCTCTTTGTCCACATCCTTGGCAATCTTTGTCCAATTCGCAATCAACTCATCCAAGCTCACGCCCTGCTGGCCCTCTATCCGCTCCCTGTCACACACAATCAACCCCTCCTCGCTACACTTGGGATCCAACGGTCCTACTGTGGGTTCCGGCATGGGAGGCATGGGGGTGATGTCGATGAGGGTTTCGCTGATCAGGCCCGTCTGGTTGACTTCGATAAGCGAGTTTCGCGGAATGACGACGTTGGAATCGAGGATTTCCACGACAGCGTCGATTCGCTCGAGGCTCGGCCTCACCCCGACCACACTCCCCACGTCCACGCCTCGGATCCGAACCGGAGTGCCGACCGTGATTCCGCAGGCTTGGGAGAATTCCATCACCGCTTTGTACCGCGTCGTGCTGGACCGTACTTGAACGCCCTTAATCCAGTTGATCGTCAGGCCGATCAAGAATAGTCCGGTCAGGAGAAACAACCCAACGCCTCCTTCCCAGATGCTCTTTTTTCCAAAACCAAAATTTCCGAGCGGGCTGACAATGTATTCTTCCCAGATGGACGAGAAGAAATCGATCAGAGCAGAAAAAGGGTTCCCTTTATTGGGCTCCGACGCAGGAGCGGAGGCAGCGGCAGCGCTCGATGCAGTCACGGTTCGGGTTCGCGGTCGACCGGCTTCGATACTGTCACATTGGAACGGTGTACCGCGGTGAAGGGGGAGTGGGGAGCATTGCTCTTGATGCCGAGGAGACGAGAAGCCGCGAAAAGATGTAGAAGTGTCACGTGACGGTAGCCATGATGCGGTTGCTCTGCTATTTGCTCGTTCTACATAAGCGCCTGATAGCGTTGGAACGTTGCATCGTGCAAGAATGGCTGAGTTAGCCATTGTCTGATGGAATAAAGCCTGGTCAGCTCGACGCAGATTTAGGTTAGTCTTATTCCGACGAGAGGCACATCGGCCAGTCTCTAAAAAAATCCAACAAGCCTGCACTTTCCAGGTCACATAAGAGAGTTACTAGGTTTGTTCAATGGATTGGCCACCAGACAACGGCTATGAGGCAAGCCGAACAGAGCATGAAATGGAAGCTTGCCTGACGTCAACTAGCAGCCATTCTCAAGAGTTAGTTTGATCATCTCCAAATGGATCAATGCGAGGGCGGGACATAAAGTCGGTTTGCAGTTCGTATTTGAATGTTCAGGCCGTTGAATAGCGGTTCAAAGCGGTGAACAAGAAAACCGTTCCAGGGTGCACAGCATCGCACTTATGGGGAAGGGGTGCAGGTCGGTTGGCTGGTGGGTTCAAAATTGGAAATTGTGGAAGTTGGTTTCGCTAGGCCAGTTGGCCAACAGTAGCAAATCAGTGCTCGCCAAATGATTTGGTCCAAATCAACGCTGGAGCACCAAGAGAAATGCCTACTGGATGTGGAGGTTGGAGGGCGGTTGCACAAAAAATGGAATTGTTGCTGGACTGATTTGTGCTTCTCTTAGACTGACTGAACACCTTTTTCGGCTGGAATATTACTATTCCCAAGTTACACAACACAGAAGCCTTGCGGCAGGCATTGCAGGTCAAAAAATATGCACAATTATCCTGACATGCACTCTTCACCCCAAAATTTTCCAGTCTTGTTCCCATTCTTGAGGCCATGTAGGCTCTAGATCAAGACCAGCTTCATCATGTGATGGAAGAGCAAGTGCTCCTTCATTGTTGATTGTTGTAGCAGCAGTGCCACCTTCATCATCCGTACCACTCACTGTTGTATCGGCAAATTGACTTCCTTGCCCAGAGGGACATGCTTCAAGGTCTGATAGGGTCACCGATGGGGCAGATGCACCAGTTACAGCCAGCGGCCAGGAAGAATGCTGCTCTGTGAATCCCAACGCATGTGCCGGAGGAAGTGACAGAGCAGACATTTGGCCCCCTCCACTTGCATCTTGACCAGCAGCTTGAGCTGTTGATGCAATTGGTAGCTGCGGCATGGAGACTGAATGGTGCAGCGTGCCCACAGAAGCCGGCATGCTGGGGGCTGGAGAGCCCACGACAGTCCCATGGGAGGTCATTGGGTTCCACATTGATGTTTGTTGATGACCGAATGCTGGCTGCATGCCAGAAGATGCCGCCACCATACTGCCGCCAGCAGGAACACCAATGGGAATAGCTGAACCAGGCCCCGTGGATGGACGGTAGCCCATGCTTGTTGCAACATGGGCCCAGGAGCCTGGCGGATACGATGACACTTGAACTGGAGAAACCCCCATGGAATAAGGAGAGTGAGGCATTCCCATGGATGGAGGGCGAGGCTGGAGTGGAGATGCCCCTGTTGCCACAGGGACAGATCCAGGAGGGTATCCAGGAACCACCGGCCCAGAGGACACTGGAACCCCCACTGCAGTTGATCCAGGATGAAGAGAGTTGAGTGACATTGAGTGAGGTCGATGCGTTGGTGGAGATGTACCAGGCGAGTAAGATGCGAACTGTGATGATCCGGCGATCATTGTGTGCATGCCTGAAGGTGAAGCAGTTGTCATGACCATTCGTGGCAGACATGATGCCTGAGAAGAAAATATATAAAAAAATATGGTCAGAAGTCATAGGAGGTTATACGCATCACAAAGTGCAATAACTGAACCGATTGATGCATTACTTGTTGGATCGGGGAGCCGCTGGTCATTGTTGCAGGGCGCATGGCAATGGTCCCAGGATACATTGCACTTGATGTGGGATACCCAGCTGGAGCTCCAGACACAACCATGGTCGGATGTGATCCGTTGTACGATCCAGGTTGCATATACATTGGACCGGTGCCACACACTGAAGGGTTTGCATGCAATGCTCCGTGATGGCTTGGGCCTTGAAACACCATGAAATCCGGAGGTAGTCGAGCTCCAGGCGGAAGCCCGGCCATCCTCTTCAGATACAGACGGTATTTCTGAAATACAGAGAAATGTGGAACTGTTACGTCAGACGCTAATTCAAGATCAAGATCTGAATCAGAAAAATAAATCGTGTGCACGAACCTGCAAATGACTCGCCACGTTCTCCCGGGTCATGCCTTCGACATTCATGAGCTTCAAGATCGTGGTGGGAACTGCATCTGCAAGAAGAGAAGGGTCATTAGGTGGCTGAATAACGAAAATAACGTCTTGCAAAATGAGGAGGCAATGCCATTAAAGCTCACTCTTGACCCCCAGATGGTTGACTGCACTCATAAAACGCGAGTGCAGCTCTGCTGTCCAGACAAGTCGTGGCTTCTTCGCCGTCCTGACACTGGTTCCTTCCATGTCGCCCTCTGAAGCTTCAACTCCTTCAGTCGGTTGATCCGTCCCAGTCGTCTCTTTAGTCCGGTTGCCTTTCGACTCGTCCTCAAGTCCGGCACTTCGTCCAGAAGCTTCCATGCGATTTGACGGTTCAGTATTCCCGGTGCTCGCAGCAGGTTCATCCTTGACCTTCGTATGCGGCTCTTCAACGCTTGTCTTATGCTCTCCTGGTTTCTCGTCGTGTGCGACAAGCTGGCTTCCATCAGGACACATCTCCGTCGACCGCTGGTCTGCATCGCTCCCTTCAACAGGGCTAGTTTGAGTTTCTGCCTCGTCACTCGACCTCGATATCACAGGTAGAAGCGCTTCATCGGCTGACCTCTTGCAGCTCAAGGTTTGCTGTTGAGTACTGCACATTCCCTCCAACCTGATGGCAGAAATCATGGATACAACAAGAACAAGAAACTTGGCTGCAGTCAGAAAGTGGCATGAAGAGAGGGGAGCGGCGATAAACGAGCAGCTCAACGCTGTAGCTCCCTTACCTGAATCCCAAACGGTCTCCAGTTTCCTATCTCACGCATTCTGGTGCAATTTGGCAGGTGATAGCCATGTCAAGGGTGCATTCGCACCCAATGACAGTTGTGAGTTCAGTGAAAGTAGAGGACTCTGGTTCTAAGCAGCGGCGGTGGATGTTGACTGGGACAGGAGGAGGTTTGTTCAGACTCCCTATCCACCAGATGCCGCTGTGGTTGATGATAACTGTGAGAAGTTGCAGATGGTCAGTGTGTATTGGAAGCGCAAAAGCGCAATGAACTGCTCGCTGAGCAGCGAAAGGCCAGGGAATGTGACCTCGGATAAACTGACTCTCAGAACAAAAAACCGTCGAGTCAGATAATGGCTGGAGGAAAGCCTCTGATAGTAACCAGCGTGAGTAGCTGTCGCTGGCTAGGTGGGGACTGCTAGACGTAAGGAAAGGCACTGGTGCTCCAGGTCCCGAACCGCAGTTATTCGAGAGCCATGGAGCCCAGGCTGGGAGCAGAAGACAAGAGCCAGGCTCAGGAGAAGGGAGCCTGCCTGACCCTGGGCCTGGCGGGGGCTGGCCTGGCTAGCCCAGGGAATCCCGAGAGAGCAAGGCTCAGCAGCACCAGCAGAACCCAGCGAGCAGCACGTGAGCGGGCAGGCAGCACCAGGGAGAGGGGGAAAAGGGGCAATGTGTCTGTCTTGGGAATTGGGGGGGGGCTGGTGCGTGCCTCCCTGGTCCGCTCGCTTGGGAGTTGCTCTGCTAGCTCGCTGGGTAGGGGGGCTCGAAGCGGGAATTGCAAATGGAAAGTGTTTTGGCGAAACTACCCCCTGCTGAAGCTCGTATCCCAAAGCGCAATCTTGGAAATATCCCGCGTGGCAGTACGTCATTCGACAACGAATTACACTCTGGTCATGGCGAGGCACGTAGAGTGAAATGCCTATCCAAATCAATTCCAGTCTCTGGGAATCCGACACACGAACTGTTCATCTTATCTGATGAAGTGACTCCCGTTTGACTTACTCCTACCACTCATGATTAGAAATCGTATTTTGAAATTGTCATCACATTAACTGAAACATTTCATATATACAAGACCATCATTCCTCCCCTATTTTACAAAAAGTTACAACAGTTCACAAGATGAACAACAAACTTCACATCAATCGTAGATGTCTTGAACCGCGATTGTACTCTGTTGCCTGCATATTCAAGAATATAAAACATTAGTAATCCAATAAAACGAGCCAAGTAATAGGTGGTCATGTGTGTCTAACAGCACTTACAATCCTTTCCACCCATCGAGATCTCACCTTTCATTCTTCGATATGCGGTAGTAGTGGTCTGCATGTTCCTTTCGCCCAATCATTTCTGCGAAAGTCTCATCGTGAGTGATGACAATCAACTGAAAGTTTTCCTGGCTTCTTCTCTCTTCCATTAGCCTGCACATACCGTAGGCACAAACAAATGAAAGAGCATGAACCAAACGAGCCGATTTGATCAGTGCAAACAAAAACGAGGTGAACACAACCAAGAGGCAGCAAGTCAGTGGACTGACCTGTTCAAGGCCCTTGCAAGGCTCTCAGCATTGGGAGCGTCAAGGTTGGTGGTCGGCTCATCCAAAGCGAGAATGCCGCAGTTGAGGCAAAAGGTCTCGGCCAATGCAAGGCGGATGATGAGAGATGCCAGCACCTGAGAGCCATAGGAAGAACAACCACAGAGTGCGGTGATAGGAAGGATGAATGAAGATGAGGGACAGCAGGCACGACGAGGATATGATTTTGGCAGACGTAAAATCTCAGAAGTGTGGAAGCAAATGATGATACCTAGCAGCCTGAGAGGCGCTTCAAGAATATTGCATGTGGAGAAAACGCTTCAATACTGTACCTTTTGGCCGGCACTGCATCTCCCCCGCATGTCCAGCTCAGCATCACCACTGCGCATCACCACCTGCCAGATTTCCCCCCCCATACACATGACCCCCCACTCCTCCACAACCCCCGCATTCCCCCATACAACGACAATGAGAAAATGAGCAGCATTTACTGAAGTCGCTGACATGAACAGACCAGCAAGGGCTAAGCATGTGACTTTCATACATAACGTAGAGGAACAAGCTGTGGGTGGCGCACACCCTGTGAATCTCCCTTACCCGGTAGGAGTACGAGCGTGTCCCCGCTCCTTCCGCGTCGGAGCGAATCTCAACGTAGTCAATGTCCTGGCCCCGGTACGTCTGCTGCCACAGCTCCTTGATGATCTTGTTGATCTCCTCCATCTTCATCGCATGGAACCGCATTAAAGCCCTGCAAATGTCACAAGGCGGACAGATATAAAGAAACAAAAAACAAACAGACAAACAAACAAAATCTCGATTGGGTCCTTGATGCCCTGAAAGATTCCACTTGTTGGAAAGTTCTGCCGCAATGCCATATTTCCCAAGACATAGGCTCGCTACTTACTTGTCCAGTGCATTATAGTATTTATCAATGTCCCGGTTTGCCATCTCTGAGGTCTGCAAAAGTGCAGGACACGATTAGACAGCAGCAAGCGGGGGAGAGGCAGGGAGCAATTATGTATTCAAGAAAGAGATATTGGCAAACAGGTGAATAGGGAGGGCAATGAGAGGGACGAACGAGTCACTTTGTGCCAACCCAAAGCTTAAACTCTCAGCTTCAGCCGGATGAGATGCTTCCAGTGCCTGTTCTCAACAGCACTCCACAGTGTCTGTTCCCAACGGTTCTCAACTGCGCCTCTAGACTGTCACAACCTCAGCTGGGCTTGAAAGCATCATTCGTGATTCGTTAGCCACATGCTTCCTGTGCCTGTACTCAACGCCTTTGAACCAAAAATCTACATCCTGAGGAAACTACAAAGCTCGAGGAGCCTACAACTTTGCTGGAAGGCGACTCTGCTAGATCTTGGGGTTGTCATAAAACCGCACATACAGCTGAATGAGCTCCTTCTTAGGTCTGTTCTCAATGGATTGAACTGTGGACCTTTCAGCTCTGCTTGGGAACAGCAATTCTCTTCATGAATATTCTATCGAAGGTCGCACCTTGAGCTGCACGAACTGCTTCCTGTGCCTGTCCTCGGTGTACCTGAACTGTGGCGCTTTGAGCAATGCTTGGGAAAAAAAAGTTAGTGTTTTTACGTGTACAGACTTTCTCACCTTGAGCTGGATGAGCTGCTTCTTGTGCCGGCTAACAATGTCTCTGAACTGGGGCGCCTTCACTGCTGCTTATAAACAAACATAATTGATTTTTTCAGAGCTCTCACCTTGAGCTGAATGAGCTGCTTCTTGTGCCGGCTAACTATGTCTCTGAACTGGGGCGCCCTCAGCTCTATCTCTGCGCGTCGGATGCTCGCCTCATGTGCGGCCACCTTGCCCCGGCTATGGTTTTGCTGCGAGGGGAGAGACGTGGAGGTGGGTGAGGTGAGAGAGGTGTGAGGAGCGGTGAGGAGTGGTGCAAGTAAGGGGAGTGAGATGAGTGAGGCTTGGGCGTGTCGGATGCTCGCCTTATGTGCTGCCACCTTGTCCCGGCTGTGGTTTTGCTGCGAGGCGGAGAGACGCAGGGGAAAGGCAGAGTGTGGGGAGTGAGATGAGAGGAGAGTGAGACAAGAGAGGCGAGTGGAGTGAGACGAGGTGAGAGTGCTGACCTCATGTGCTGCCACCTTGCCCCGGCTGTGGTTTTGCTGCGAGGAGAAGAGACGTGGAGGAGAGAAGTTTGAGAGCGGTGCGAAGTGGTGCAAGTGAGGGAAGTGTGGTGCGAGAGATGAGTGAGGTGAGAAGTGGTGAGAAGCGATGAAAGTGAGGTGAATGAGGGGAGCAATCAAGGTTGACAGCTGCTCACCTCGGCAGCAAGCCCATCAATCTCCTCCCTCACGGCCCTCACCTCCTCCTCCAACTCCCCAACCCTCCCCACGCGCCCCATCTCCTCCCTCAGCCTCTCCACCTCTCGCCTCACCCCCTCTTCCTCCCTCTCCATGCCCCGGAACAACAGAATCGCCTCCACATTGCGCTTCACAGCATCCTGGCTGCGCAGCATCTCCCGCTCCTCTGCCTCCTTTGCGCTCAGCTGCTGAATTTGCTGCTCATTACTCGCCTGCCGCGCCTGCGATTGCTGCAGCCTTTTGGATGCTTCTGCTAGCCGCTGCTCCTTTTTAGAGGCAATGTAGCTGGTGGGGTGAGGAGAGGGGTGAGGAGAGAAGAGGGGACCTTAAAAGACTGACTCTCCATGCCCTGGAACACCAGAATCGCCTACACATTGCGCTTGACAGCATCCTGGCTGCGAAGCATCTCCCTCTCCTCCGCCTCCGTCCCGCTCAGCTGCTCTATCCGCTGCTCGTTGCTCGCCTGCCGTGCCTGCGACTGCTGCAGCCGCTTTGATGCTTCCGCCAGCCACTGCTCCTTGTTCGAGGCGATGTAGCTGGTGGGGGAAGGGGGGATGGGGAGGGGAGGGAAGGGGAGAGGAGCGGAGGAAGGGAAGGGAAGGGAGCGGAGGAGGCGAGGGGACAGAGGGAGGGGGAAGAGGGGACCTTTGAAAAGCCTCAAGAGAGACCCGACAGCATTCCAGTTGCCCATCATCTCCCTCTCCTCCGCCTCCTTCGGGCTCAGCTGCTCTATCCGCTGTTCGTTCCTCGCCTGCCTGCGACTGCTGCAGCCGCTTCGATGCTTCAGCTAGCCGCTGCTCCTTGTTCGAGGCAATGTAGCTGATGGGATGGGGAGGAGGAGAAGGGAGATCGGATAAAGAGGCAATTTTGAATGCTTTCAAGAGTGATTCGAATGCTGTTGCAGCCGCTTTGATGCTTCCGTCAGCCGCTGCTCCTTGTTCGAGGCAATGTAGCTGATGGGATGGGGAGGAGGAGAAGGGAGATCGGATAAGGAGGCAATTTTGAATGCTCTCAAGAGTGATTCGAATGCTGTTGCAGCCGCTTTGATGCTTCCGTCAGCCGCTGCTCCTTATTCGAGGCACTGTAGCTGATGGGATGGGGAGGAGAAGGGAGATTGGATAAAAAGGCAATTTTGAATGCTCTCAAAGAGTGATTCGAATGCTATTGCAGCCGCTTTGATGCTTCCGTCAGCCGCTGCTCCTTGTTCAAGGAAATGTAGCTGGTGAGGAGGGGAGAGGAGAGGAGAAGGGACAGAGCGGAGGAACGGGGGGGGGGGGCAGGGGAGGGAGAAGAGGGGAACATTGAAAAGTTTCTAAGAGTGGGGGTCCGGGTGGGGGTCACCTGCCTCCTAGAGGAGTGGCGCCCTCTAGGGGAAGGCGCCTGCCCCCTAGAGGAATGGCGCCCCCTAGGGGAAGGCGCCTGCCCCCTAGAGGAGTGGCGCCCCCTAGGGGAAGGCGTTTGCCCCCTAGAGGAGTGGCGCCCCATAGGGGAAGGCGCCGGCCCCCTAGAGGAGTGGCGCCCCCTAGGGGAAGGCGCCTGCCCCCTAGAGGAGTGGCGCCCCCTAGGGGAAGGCGCCTGCCCCCTAGAGGAGTGGCGCCCCCTAGGGGAAGGCGCCTGCCCCCTAGAGGAGTGGCGCCCCCTAGGGGAAGGCGCCTGCCCCCTAGAGGAGTGGCGCCCCCTAGGGGAAGGCGCCTGCCCCCTAGAGGAGTGGCGCCCCCTGGGGGAAGGCGCCTGCCCCCTAGAGGAGTGGCGCCCCCTAGGGGAAGGCGCCTGCCCCCTAGAGGAGTGGCGCCCCCTAGGGGAAGGCGCCTGCCCCCTAGAGGAGTGGCGCCCCCTAGGGGAAGGGCGCCTATTAGGGGAAGGGCGCCAATTAGGGGAGTGGCGCCTATCAGGGGAGTGGCGCCTATTAGGGGAGTGGCGCCTATTAGGGGAGTGGCGCCTATTAGGGGAGTGGCGCCTATTAGGGGAGTGGCGCCTATTAGGGGAGTGGCGCCTAGCCTATTAGGGGAGTGGCGCCTATTAGGGGAGTGGCGCCTATTAGGGGAGTGGCGCCTATTAGGGGAGTGGCGCCTATTAGGGGAGTGGGGCCTAATAGGGGAGTGGCGCCTATTAGCGGAGTGGCGCCTATTAGGGGAGTGGCGCCTATTAGGGGAGTGGCGCCTATTAGGGGAGTGGCGCCTATTAGCGGAGTGGCGCCTATTAGGGGAGTGGCGCCTATTAGGGGAGTGGCGCCTATTAGGGGAGTGGCGCCCATTAGGGGAGTGGCGCCTATTAGGGGAGTGGCGCCGATTAGGGGAGTGGCGCCTATTAGGGGAGTGGCGCCTATTAGGGGAGTGGCGCCTATTAGGGGAGTGGCGCCTATTAGGGGAGTGGCGCCTATTAGGGGAGTGGCGCCTATTAGGGGAGTGGCGCCTATTAGGGGAGTGGCGCCTATTAGGGGAGTGGCGCCTAATAGGGGAGTGGCGCCTATTAGGGGAGTGGCGCCTATTAGGGGAGTGGCGCCCATTAGGAGAGTGGCGCCTATTAGGGGAGTGGCGCCGATTAGGGGAGTGGCGCCTATTAGGGGAGTGGCGCCTATTAGGGGAGTGGCGCCTATTAGGGGAGTGGCGCCTATTAGGGGAGTGGCGCCTAATAGGGGAGTGGCGCCTAATAGGGGAGTGGCGCCTATTAGTGGAGTGACGCCTATTAGGGGAGTGGCGCCTATTAGGGGAGTGGCTGGCGCCTATTAGGGGAGTGGCGCCTATAAGGGGAGTGGCTGGCGCCTAATAGGGGAGTGGTGCCTATTAGGGGAGTGGCGCCTACTATTAGGGGAGTGGCGCCTAATAAGGAAGTGGCGCCTATTAGGGGAGTGTCGCCTATTAGGGGAGTGGCGCCTATTAGGGGAGTGGCGCCTATTAGGGGAGTGGCGCCTATTAAGGGAGTGGCGCCTATTAGGGGAGTGGCGCCTATTAGGGGAGTGGCGCCTATTAGGGGAGTGGCGCCTATTAGGGGAGTGGCGCCTATTAGGGGAGTTGCGCCTATTAGGGGAGTGGCGCCTATTAGGGGAGTGGCGCCTATCAGTGGAGTGGCGCCTATTAGGGGAGTGGCGCCTATTAGGGGAGTGGCTGGCGCCTTTAAGGGGAGTGGCTGGCGCCTAATAGGGGAGTGGCGCCTATTAGGGGAGTGGCGCCTACTATTAGGGGAGTGGCGCCTAATAAGGAAGTGGCGCCTATTAGGGGAGTGGCGCCTATTAGGGGAGTGGCGCCTATAAGGGGAGTGGCGCCTATTAGGGGAGTGGCGCCTATTAAGGGAGTGGCGCCTATTAGGGGAGTGGCGCCTATTAGGGGAGTGGCGCCTATTAGGGGAGTGGCGCCTATTAGGGGAGTGGCGCCTAGTAGGGGAGTGGCGCCTATTAGGGGAGTGGCGCCTATTAGGGGAGTGGCGCCTATTAGGGGAGTGGCGCCTATTAGGGGAGTGGCGCCTATTAGGGGAGTGGCGCCTATTAGGGGAGTGGCGCCTATTAGGGGAGTGGCGCCTATTAGGGGAGTGGCGCCTAGTAGGGGAGTGGCGCCTATTAGGGGAGTGGCGCCTATTAGGGGAGTGGCGCCTATTAGGGGAAAGGCGCCTATTAGGGGAGTGGCGCCTATTAGGGGAGTGGCGCCTATTAGGGGAGTGGCGCCTATTAGGGGAGTGGCGCCTATTAGGGGAGTGGCGCCTATTCGGGGAGTGGCGGCGCCTATTAGGGGAGTGGCGCCTATTAGGGGAGTGGCGCCGCCTATTAGGGGAGTGGCGCCGCCTAGTAGGGGAGTGGCGCCGCCTATTCGGGGAGTGGCGCCTATTAGGGGAGTGGCGCCTATTAGGGGAGTGGCGCCTACTATTAGGGGAGTGGCGCCTATTAGGGGAGTGGCGCCTATTAGGGGAGTGGCGCCTATTAGGGGAGAGGCGCCTATTAGGGGAGTGGCGCCTATTAGGGGAGTGGCGCCTATTAGGGGAGTGGCTGGCGCCTATTAGGGGAGTGGCGCCTATTAAGGAAGTGGCGCCTATTAGGGGAGTGGCGCCAATTAGGGGAGTGGCGCCTATTAGGGGAGTGGCGCCTATTAGGGGAGTGGCGCCTATTAAGGGAGTGGCGCCTATTAGGGGAGTGGCGCCTATTAGGGGAGTGGCGCCTATTAGTGGAGTGGCGCCTATTAGGGGAGTGGCGCCTTTTAGGGGAGTGGCGCCTATTAGGGGAGTGGCGCCTACTATTAGGGGAGTGGCGCCTATTAGGGGAGTGGCGCCTATTAGGGGAGTGGCGCCTATTAGGGGAGTGGCGCCTATTAGGGGAGTGGCGCCTATTAGTGGAGTGACGCCTATTAGGGGAGTGGCGCCTATTAGGGGAGTGGCTGGCGCCTTTTAGGGGAGTGGCGCCTATTAGGGGAGTGGCTGGCGCCTTTAAGGGGAGTGGCCCCTATTAGGGGAGTGGCTGGCGCCTATTAGGGGAGTGGCGCCTATTAGGGGAGTGGCGCCTATTAGGGGAGTGGCGCCTATTAGGGGAGTGGCGCCTATTAGGGGAGTGGCGCCTATTAGGGGAGTGGAGCCTATTAGGGGAGTGGCGCCTATTAGGGGAGTGGCGCCTTTTAGGGGAGTTGCGCCTATTAGGGGAGTGGCGCCTATTAGGGGAGTCGCGCCTATCAGTGGAGTGGCGCCTATTAGGGGAGTGGCGCCTATTAGGGGAGTGGCTGGCGCCTTTAAGGGGAGTGGCTGGCGCCTAATAGGGGAGTGGCGCCTATTAGGGGAGTGGCGCCTACTATTAGGGGAGTGGCGCCTATTAGGGGAGTGGCGCCTATTAGGGGAGTGGCGCCTATTAGGGGAGTGGCGCCTATAAGGGGAGTGGCGCCTATTAGGGGAGTGGCGCCTATTAAGGGAGTGGCGCCTATTAGGGGAGTGGCGCCTATTAGGGGAGTGGCGCCTATTAGGGGAGTGGCGCCTATTAGGGGAGTGGCGCCTAGTAGGGAGGCCTTGAGTGGCGCCTATTAGGGGAGTGGCGCCTATTAGGGGAGTGGCGCCTATTAGGGGAGTGGCGCCTATTAGGGGAGTGGCGCCTATTAGGGGAGTGGCGCCTATTAGGGGAGTGGCGCCTATTAGGGGAGTGGCGCCTAGTAGGGGAGTGGCGCCTATTAGGGGAGTGGCGCCTAGTAGGGGAGTGGCGCCTATTAGGGGAGTGGCGCCTAGTAGGGGAGTGGCGCCTATTAGGGGAGTGGCGCCTATTAGGGGAGTGGCGCCTATTAGGGGAAAGGCGCCTATTAGGGGAGTGGCGCCTATTAGGG